CTGTTATATTCTTTGTAATGTTTAAACGATGATAGGTTTGTCCTGAACCTATTCTTGTTCCAAACACAGCCCTTTATTAGCATCATGTTGTATGTTTATTAACAGGAAGCAAATATTAAACAACTCAGAAAATGATTAAGGGGTGTATGTCTAAGAACATTTGCAGAGCTATTTATTCTGTGAAACCGCATGTACATATGTTTGGAAAATTCAGGCATATTATTATGCTATTTTCTCTCCAAATCAAATGTTATTTATGCATACAGAATAGAGCATAATGTTGTGTACTGTTACATGAAGACAGTCAAGCCAAATGCAAAATGTCTAACAATAATACCACTTGACCTTCGGAAGATTTACCCCCCTTGGACCAGGCCATTTTTTGCAAAGGCGCTGCGTTACTATAACTGACAATTGCGCGGTCACAATACTGTACATAAATGAAATTTATGTAATTTTTTCCCACAACACTTGTTTTCATAGGCAGAGCTCTGTTCTGTGTCCTGCCCGACATCCATTCACCAACACTCGCAGATCAGTTTCTAGTGTGAGTGTTCACAGCAGAAGTGACTCGTGGACAGCGCACGCACTCCCCCCCCCCCTTTGGTGGAAGTGCAAAAGTAAAACTGCTATGGGGCGGACCTTAAGTGGTTAAACAAGTATTGTAATGAGTGTATTCCCTAAAGAAACAAAGTGTATGGAAAAAAAAAAAAACCTACATGAATGAATAAAACTATTTTGATACTATAAGGCAAAAAGTTAAATCTTTTAAATCCCTAAAGCCTGAGGTATATAATCCTTCATTAAATAAATACAATCTGCACAAAAAAAAAGAACAATGAGAATACACTAAAGCACTTCAGCACTAGCACCTTTATGCCCCTTATTGACCAGAGCAAACTGTGATCTTTCAGAAATGAGTCTGAGATGGGTGTCAGACCAATGGGATGGGGGCTAACAGTGGTGCTCTCAGTATGTTGTGGCAGAACTTCTGGGCTAACACTGGCATGCTGTGGTGAACATTAATAGTACACATGGAGATAATAGAGGCATGAAAATGACAAACCTGCAGGGGATAAGATTATACTAATAGAGTCTTCCAAACAATCAGCGCTGACTTTGCAATACATAGGTAAAAAAAAAGCCAATTCTGACAAAAATAATCAAAAAAGAATGATTTTGAAAATACACAAGCAATAAATGGGCGATCAGAATAATACACAGGCAACACATGGGCAATTGTGACAATACATGAGCAAGTAATCAAAAATCATGACAATATGCGGGAAAGAAACAAGCAATTGGGACAGTATATGGCAATTAACAAGCAACTGTTGCAATATGTGGGAAACAGTCAGGCAAATGTGATTATACATGGGCAAGACATGGCCAATCATGATAATATGCTGGAAAGAATGTAGCAATTGTAACAATAAATGGCAACAGGCAATCATTGTAATATGAGGGCAACAAATTAGTTGTTTTTGCAATACCCAGACAAGAAATTAACAGCTATAACAATACCCAGGCAACAAAAAGGCAATAATTACAGTACATGGGCAAAAAGTGGGCCACCAGGGCAATAAGTGGGCAACAAATGCACAATAATGACAATATGCAAGCAACAAATGGGAAACTGTGACACGCAGGAAAAAAAAGGTAATTATGACAATATACAGGAAAAATGAGCAGTTATAACAATACACAGGCAGCAAACAAGCAATTGCTACAATCTGTGGGCAACAAAAAGGCAATCTTTATGATACACATGCAAAAAAATGGTCAAACAATCCTATACAGAGTTACATAGTTGGTAAGATTGAATAAAGACACCAGTCCATCCAGTTCAATCTGTAGATGATGTGTTTCTGTGTTTATGTTGCTACCAATTTCCATATTGTGTTCACTTTCCGTACACTCTGTGTTCACTAAAAAACACATCTGGAAGTTTTATTAACCTCCCTGGAGGTATTCCCGAGTGTAGCTCGGGGTAAAGTTTCAGCACCACAAGCGGTATGACCAAGCTACACTCGGGAATACTCTGCAGCGCTGATCCGGGATCTCTTCTTCACTTACCTTGTCCTTCACTCCTGCGATGTCCCTCCTGCAGTGTCCCCGGCAATGTCCTCTGGGTTCCGTTCCCTGCGACGTCAGGACGTACGGGGACGGAACAGCGGGAAATTTAAAAATGTGAAAAAGTGACATTCACTAAATACACTAAAATCACATAGTAAAACATTACTGTGTCAAACCATTTCACATACATTTTGTCCCCAGTGCTTTGTCCTGTGCCCTGCCTGCATTTTTACTGTTCTTGCCTGGAAACTGAGAAAAGTCCATGGCGTCCAAAAATCGTTCCTTTAGGTCAAAAGTGGTTTTTAGACCAGCTAGAGAACAGTGATAGTAAATTAGAACCACTTGCAGAATTGAGTGATAATGATTCGTGGGGAAATCCAAGTCATCAGACACTGAAAACAATTTTGCGACTTTGCTCAGTGATGTGCGACCTTGGCGCTATATTTCAAATTTCAGTGTTTTTGGTTTGATTATATTATTGAATTAAATTTTTTGTTATTATATTATTATTTTTTTATGATTATTTATTAAATTTAAATTTATGATTTCGTGTTTCAAATTTTAACATACCCGGGATGTTTATTAGACTCTTGTTCGGACAGATTTCAGTGAGTTATTCCTAAAAATTACAGGCCTACAATAAAAAAACAACATATTTCCATGCAAAAAAAGTAGTGCTTTGAGCACAGAAATACTGACATAATCAGACCACTAGGGAGGCTACATTTATCTACACTCCCCACTGACACCACCAATTGTAGAGTTTCACATCTTTACCACTCTAACGAAAGAGAATAATGATAGGCTGCACATTCAAACTAAACGTAAGTTCAACATGAACATAGGCCGTTTGTGTGTTCGGTGAACACATGAACGGTACGGGCATTCAGAGGGCTGTTCACCTGCCGCACCCCACAATGCACTGTGCGCTGACAGTGCATTGTGATTGGCCAAAGCATTGCACTTGATCACCCCCACCCCTTGTGACATCATCACCCTATTTAAGAACTGTCATCGCGGTGCAGCTGTCAGATGGCAGGAGCCAGTGTCAACGGGGGAGCAGATTTTCTTTTTTCAAGTCAGGGGTGGCAGTGGGCATTGTGATTGATGTTGGATCTACTTCTGGGGAAATTTTTTTTATTTTTATTTTTAATAAAGGACTTGTCAAAGACTGTCTCCTGTCTTTTTTTACATTAGACTTTTTTTTGTGAATGGGTAGTGGTACCATGTACCCCATACTCATCCACATGGGGGGCGGGATCTGGGGGCCCTCTTAAATGGGGCTTCCAGATTCTGATAAGCCCCCTGCCCACAGTCCCCCACAACCACCGTCCCTTGCCCTTGTCCTCAGCAACATGGAGACAAGGTGCTGGGGGGGAGTCCCCCTGCCCCAAAGCACCCCCCTATGTTGAGGGCATTTGGCCTGGTATGGTTCAGGACGGGGGGGGCACTCATTCCCCCCCACCCTTTCTTGACCTGCTGTGCTGCATGCTCGGATAAGGGTCTGGTATGAATTTTGAGGAGGACCCCACACCATTTTTTTTTTTTATTTTGGTGGGGGGGGTTGCTCTCAAAACCCATACCAGACCCGAAGGGCTTGGTATGGGTGGGAGGGGGGACCCCATGCTGTTTTTTTTAATTATTATGTAATTGTTGGACAATGCTGGCAATTTTTTTGATATTCAGCTGTCAGCAGGAAATCCCGCTGACAGCTGAAACATGAATGAATGTTTCACTACTAAAATACAGCATTACTTAATAATAAAACGAATGTGGTATTTTAGTATCTGAGCGGTATCTTACCGCATACTCAAATACTTAGTAAATTGTCCGTTCGAAGTTCAAGGTCGAACTTTTGGTAGGTTCGGATGTTCGACCGTGAACTGAACAGGAAGGTGTTCAGTCCATCACTAGCAAAGAAGTCCTTACACAGTTTAAGATTGAACCACGTCTCATCCAAATTCATTGTGGGGGCCATGGGACTTCTTTAGAGGCCTTAGATTAAATCCTTTTCTCCCAATGATACAGTCACCATTCACAGATTTGTATACTGTAATCATATCCCTTCTTAAATTCCTCTTCCCAACACAAGCAAGAAATATACAATCGTGACAATGTGCAGACAACAAACAGGTAGTCATTACAATATACAGGAAATAAAGGGGCAGCCATGAAAATACACAGACAACAAACTGTCAATCATGACAAAGTACGGGCAATAGATAGGCATCTGTGACAATATGCCACATTCATTACAATATGTATTGTCATGTTTCCAGCTAAGAGAGGTCTGTTTTACAATCCAAGAATAGGTCCGGGATAGTTGAAATGGGCTTTCCTAACATTCATGCAACCTTCAACTCTGCTCATCTTTAATAAAGATAGAAAATGCTTCTAGCCCAAATGGCCAGTTCCCCCACACGCAAAAAAAATAACCCTAGTAATAGATAAACCACTCTATCTTATTTACTTAGATGCTCTTCAACTGGAACAGTCCCAAAAGAATGGCATACAATCAATTTTGCACCATTATTTAAAAACAATAAAATGCTAGATCCACAAAACTATAAACCAGTAAATCTGACTTCTGCTGTGTCCCATACATTTGAAAGTATATTGATAATCAAACAACAACATACAGTAGCAAACCATCTTATAGCAGAGAATCAGAATGGGTTTATAAAATACATGTAAAGTCTAACTGAATAACTGTAATAGGTTTTTATTACGAGTTATGCTTAAATCTGGATGGCGATAATTACTTTGTTGTAATATTGTACATTTGAATTTTGCTAAAGCATGTGATAATGTTCCTAAATTGTCTAGTAACAAAGTTAAGCGAGCAAGGGATAGGATTTGAACATGAGTAACAAACTGATTAAAAGACACAAGGGTAATCATCAACAATACATATTCTAGGCGTGTTAAGGTTGGTAGCAGGGGCGGACTGACCATTTGGAAACTCGAGCACTGCCCAAGGGCCCGGGGTCAGTAGGGGGCCCCATGAGATGCCCCTGGTACCTTTTTCATAGGCTTTTTTGAGTTTGGGCAAGGACACAGGAGCCCCATGTTCCCCTATTGCCCGGGGGGCCCCATGAGTTGTCAGTCCGCCCCTGGTTGGTAGTGATGTCTTAGGAGCATGGGACATGCTCCTGCTGCAACTGCTCCTTCAGCCTCTCCACCCTCAGCTGCAGTCGCTGCTCAATCAGTCTCTTTCTATGGCCTGATTATCAGCAATGGCCCAGCAACAGACATTTCACTCCCAGCAATTCCCCTCCGCTCTCACTGGATGCCTGCCTGTTCCTCCCAAATAGCCCTGATTGGCTCTTGGCTTGTGATAGCATTTAGCTTCCTAGCTCCTGCTGTGTGTACTTTGCCAAGCATGCCTTGATCATGATTACACCTGTTACTGACCTCTGCCTGGATAAAGGACTTCTTTGACTGCAGCCTGTACTGACCTTTGGCCTAGATATAGATTTATAGATTACTGTTTGACCGCAGCTCACAATGACCCCTTGCCTGGATAACAGATACAATACTGTACCCCACTTGCCCTGATTCTTGCTTGGATATGCAATGTGCCAGCTGCAAGCCAGCCCAGATGATTTCAGGCTTGGCATCCAGGCAGTCACTAGTCTTGGTTGCTCCTGCATTCAATACCAGCCTTTAACCTTCTCAACATCTTGAAGCCATCTGACACGGTGCATTACTCGCTCTCTCTCGCTGGTTGCTGGGGAGTACCCCCATTTTGCAAATATAGCTTTGTGCCTTCAGTTCTGGTGCATTGAAATACTAATAAGCATCCTAGCCTCAAAGGAAATGCGGCTACTAAAGTAAAACTGTGCATTAGCCTGGCTATTTGCATAAAGCAAGATGAAACCCAGTACACCTTACATTGCCACAAGCCCAAGGCATTAGATATACCATAGGACACAGTGAAGACTATCATCAACAAGTGGGAAAAATATGGCACAATGGTGACATTACCAAGAACTGGACATTACATCAAAAAGGATTAAAACAAAAAACAAGAAGAAACTGGTCCGAGAGGCTGCCAGGAGGCCTACAGCAACAATAAAGTAGGTGCAGGAATTTCAGGCAAGTGCTGGCTGTGTACTACATGTGACAACAATCTCCCATATTCTTCCTATGTCTGGGCTGTGGAGTAGGGTGGCGAGATGGAAGTCTTTTCTTACAAAAAAAAAATGGTACATTTCAGAAAAACCTTCATCATCATACAACTGAATCTGTGGTTTTAATCAAGATGGAGGGACTTGTGTCCAATTCCAAATATCAGTCAATTTTGACACAAAACCTACAGGACTCTTGGGCTATTCATCCCATACCAGCAACACTGGAAAAACCATGCAGCTGGCAACCCTTATTGACCTTTCACTTACTGAGCACAACTCTGAAAGATTGTCTTTCTCCTTGCTCTTGTCTGAGGCTCTTGCCATCAGTAGTCCTTCATATCACAGGCAGTTGCCCAAACAAACCAGAAAGACACCATGGAAAAGTAGGTCGAGAGGAAATTTTACTAAGCCATATTCAACAGTTTGAGGAGCATAACAAGCCCCAATATGCATTTATTACCAAACTCTTAAACACAATGCCTCTGCCTTTGGAGAATCTGGTCCCTTTCAAATTTCCATGGACTAAATTCAAGCCTCTTAGCTTCAGCTCCCTTTGGTTCCAGGGAACACCCCTCCCATTTTCTAAAGTTGCTATCAACAACTGTCCTCAAGCTAGGGTCAGTCAACTTTTAGACTCCTGTGCTAGTTTTATACCTTTGGAGCCAATCATCAAGAGCAGATTTTATTCTTCAGTATCTGCTCACCAGCCCTGTCCTCTGGTCTCACGTTATCTGTGTTCAGGTACCCATAACCAACATATCAATTGACCCTCTCAGAAAATGCTTGGGATATTTGCTGACCAAGTTACTGTCTGCGTCAACAAGGAATTTCAGCTTTTCTTTCCACTAATACTTTCCCTGACTTCCACCAGAAATACTAGCACTACTGTGCTAGACCTGCCTCTAAGCTACTACTGCATAAGCCTTTTGGTTGCCCAATTGATTTTCTCCTGGGTACTCTACCACCAAAGGGGTGGATTTAGCCCCTCTCAAAACCTGAGAGCCAGGCCATAAAGGACTACATAGAGGAAAACCTCTAAAAGGGTTAATTCACCCTTTAAAATGTCCTGCTAGTGCTGGTTCCTTAACATTGGAGAAGAAGGATGGCTCCCCATTAAGGCTTGAACTGTATCCCCAACCAATACCATATCCCTCTCACCATTGGGCTTTTCAGCTGCATCCAGAGTGCCTAACCATTTTCCAAGCAGCTTGATCTAAGGGCATACAGTTTGGTCCAGATCCCCGAGGGTATCCCGTACAAGACAGTCTTTAACACCAGGGATGGATATTATGAGTACTTAGCCTTTGGTTAACAAACGCTCCTACTGTCTTTCAAGAATTATGTTTTCTGTGGCTACCTGGGCAAGTTCTTAGTCATCTATCTGAATGATTTTCCGATTTTATCCCAGGCTTTGATAGACAATAGTGCCTAACTTCCAGCTCTGTAAATCAAAGTTCTGTCTTTCATACATTCAAGAACAGCATCACTCATTCTCCACTCTGTCTATTCATAAACCGTCTTATAGTCTATTCATGAGTCTGGTTATAGAATACAAACTATTCTGCGATTGGACAAGGGGGGGCCCTGATGATCGTCCTCACGGTCTCATTCTTTGTCTAGTCACAGAATTCTAATAATGGCATTGATACATTGCATGTACAATGTATCAATGAGGTTGTTATTTTTGATGTAAATAGTTTATGATGTTTTCAGGTAAGATGAATCTATTTTTTTTTTTTCACTTCATTCATTAGAATTCTTGAATGAAACAGGAATAGTAGGAAGTGACTGGGTTACTGTAACTGTATGATTTATGCCTAGTATTTGTATTTCATTTTACTTGTTTGAGAGGTTAAATACTATTTTACCTGAGGAACAGTAGTCTCACCTTTCAGCAGGAGACTTTGGAGTGTGGTGATTCTATTTGCTTTATATTCTATTGTATTGGATATATACATGGACACACACAATATAAATATATATTTATTGTAATCAGCAAATAAAACTTTCTACAGCAAACACAAAACAGTCCATAACTCTGGTATAATGGAAAAATAACATGTTGACTCACTGCCAGTATGCCAATCCCAAACCAGGGTTTAGGGTACTGCCTCTGGATGCTGCAAAGGCTGTTGGTGTTCAGCAAACAGTGTCTCAGTTGCCAGACAGTTCACACTTGCTTACAGCTGTGAACCTCTCCAGTCTACCTTAAAGACACCTGCTGATTATTTCCTGTTCCTTTTCTTGACTCTGATTCAGATGGCTTCACCCTTTTAGGACAAAGGTTCCTGTAATCAGGGTTTGGAGGCTCTTTCTCACTCAAAGTTTCACTGATCCTCCAAATTCTGGGTCTCAAAAGAGGATTTACCATCCTCCACTTGGACTACCCCCAGAACTTTGTCATCCTTTATGGGCTAGAACCACTGAGCACTTAAAAACATCTCTTGAATTCTTGCTTAAACGTACATTAATAGCTCATTGACTGAGGCAAATTACAAAGTTTTTCTATGGTGGTAATTGGTGCCAGTGGGCTTGGCATCGTCTATCCTGGGGGCCTTCTCTTGATGTTTCTGCAGCTATGGATAAGGAGGGAACTGTTCTCCACACCTGGTGCACCTGCCTCAAAGTGAAGTGTGCATCTGCACATATAACTTCATTTACTCCCTCACTCAGATAAACCTAGTGAAAACTCCACATCAGGCCCTCTTGGGTAAGCTGGTGGAAGGAGTACCAGGATATGTGAGACGCATCATCGCATTCATCTTTACAGTAACCAGGATTTCCATTGCACGGTCCTGGAAAGCCCTTATGGTCCCCTTCGAACTCCTAAAGGCTAAGCTAACATGGATTATGATTAATGAAAGTATGTTAGCCATTCTCCATTATAGGCTGGTCTACTTTGAAAAACATGGGAACCCTGGATAAAATACCTCTCAGGATCCTCCTGAACTGGATGGAGGGACTTATATGTACTAATCAGAGGGTGCACATTTAGTATCTATTGATGGTCTTGTGGGTCTTCTCTCATGCGAGCCTGTGATATTTTGGCAGAAGCTCAGAATCAAATGGGTTGTAGTCAACTGAACAGTAAAAACCAAATCAACACCAAATCATTATGACATTTTATTATCGGTGATTCTATTATATATTTCTGTTTATTGAACTTTGCCTGTAAGCAGATCTATATGTAGGACTGACCAGGAAATGGATGCTGTAACTACCATAACATCTTGTTCATTCTTAATAAAAATTATTGAAAGAGAATTCTTGTTCAAAGTGACCATAACCCAAATAGTGGGGAAACATAACTCCTATCCAGGACCTATATGTCCCAGGAATCCCGTTTTTTTATATTATATATATATATATATATATATATATAGCGAGAGAGAGAGAGAGAGAGAGAGAGAGAGAGAGTATATACATATATACCTTTGGAAATAATGTAAGATGCTATAACATATTTTTATACCACTATTCTTACTTTTTTTTTCTAATTTGTTAATATCTATTAAGCAAACCATCACTGCTGTTTTAAGGTATGCAATAAATTGTACTGGATAAGACAAAGCATGCTTTCTGAAATAGCTGCACTATAAAACAGATGACTTACTGATCCATTAAAGATCTATACTTCATAAAACACACACACACTGCTGGCTGAATTACAACAAATGTGGATTTGCACTGTGCTGCTGCCATGCATGAGATGAATCTATTTATCACCAAAAAAATGTTTAAAAAAATGAGCGTACACATTTAATTACAGCCACAGTTTATTAGTATACTAAGGGCTTAACGGGCTTTAGTTTAGCTTGAGAGTTTTCAAGTTTACTACATTATCTGACCTATTTATTAAGTCAAACAGCAAAGTCTGAACTAATGGCAACACTTCAGCAATCATCTTTTTATAGACTATCAGGATTTAGTGAGTGTATCTGGCTATGTAGGTAGTGTAACGTAGTTTTGAAAGTTGGATAGATATAGCATTAAAAGGAAAGTTTATTGATTTCAATTTTATGGTTTATTATATATTTGAAACTTTTTTTTAGTTATTTAATACTATTTATATAAATATTTCATTTACAAATAAATATTTAATACAAGGTACCCACAGACACAGAGCATTGTGGGTTTTTCAAAAGAGAGACCACAGCAGAGGCTGTTTGCTTTTCGACTATCTCTCTCTAGTAGAAAGGCTGGACTGAGGTCTCTGAACAGAACTTTACCCACTTTACTACCATGCTATAGCCGAATGATGGCTACAGCATGGTCGTCAAGTTCTGGGGTAAGTGTCATATGATGTCCTCCCAAAACGCTCCCCTTGCATGCCCCCAGAGGTGCAGACCTGGCGCTGTCTGTGATTGCTGAGTCCTTTGGACACATCTGATAACATGACATGGTAAAAGACTGAGCACAGTGGCCTTTTACCACGTGATCAGCTGTGTTCAGTCACAGCTGACCTCCATATAAATACACTTGCGGTTATCGTCAGTACTTTCCACATGCTGTCACAGCATGAGGAAAGTACTGCCGGTAATCAGCAACTGTCAAAGCAGACATCTGCACTGATTATCAGTGCAGCCCCAGAGGTGCCCATCAGTGCCCATCAGTGCCCAACAGTGCTGCCCATCCGTGCCCAACAGTGCTGCCACTGTGCCCATCCGTGCCACTAGTCAGTGCTGCCTATCAGTGGCACCAGTTAGTGCCACCAGTCAGTGCCCTTTAATGCTACCTATTAGTGCCCATTAGTGCAGCATATCAGTGCCCATCATTGCTGCCTATCAGTGCCCAGTAGTGCCACATATCAGTGCAGCATCATCAGTGCCTCTTTACCAATTCCCCTTAGTGCCGCGTCATCAGTGCTGCCTCATCAGGGCAGCCTATCAGTGCCTGTCAGTGCTGCCTATCAATCCTGCCTCATCAGTGCCCATCAGTGCTGCCTATTAGTGCCCATCAGTGCTGACTATCAGTACCCATCAGTGCTGTGTATCAGTGCAGCTTCATCAACGCACATCAATGAAGGAGAAAAATTACCTGTTTGCAAAATTTTATAATAGAAACAAAGGAAACCTTTTTTTTTAATTTTCTCTCTTTTTTTCGTTTGTAGTGCAAAAAATAAAACACCCAGTGGTGATTAAATACCAATAAAAAAGCTCTATTTGTGTGAAAAGAAATTATAAAAATTTCATATGGGTACAGTGTTGCATGACCATGCAATTGTCATTCAAAGTGTGACAGAGCTGAAAGTTGAAATTTGCCTGGGCAAGAAGGGGGGGAAAGTGTCCAGTAGGCAAGTGGTTAAAGCGTAAGTACACTGTAGCTTAGCACCATGTACCAAAAAGCGCTATTTATTTTTAATATTCAAACCAAACTCACCCTTCCATCCATGTGTCCATACTTTATTTTGAGTAAGGGCAGATGATTTATTTAGCATTTAATTACTAGAATCCATCTGCCCTTATCTCAGGCATGCATGCATGGGGTGTGCTTAGTTGAGAAAACCCCTCCTCTCCTCTTGGAGTCTCCTGGGTTGTATGACATCATTTGCCTAGACATAGAAACCAGGAAGTAACTAAGGAAAAGTAAAAAGTTTAAAACAAGTAAATATGATATACTATACTTTCCTTTTTATTTACTAATGTTAGCAGCATAAGGTCTCAGCAACCCATCAAAGTCTTATACTTACCTGTCCTTGCTTTTGTCAGATCTTTGCTTTGCACCCCACTGTGAGCTGCATAGCCATTGCTTCAACATCTTCCTCTGCACTTGTGCAGAACCGCCTCTATTTATTCCTATGAAAAGGATGTCCACTGTTGTGGTGCATAATAGGCAGCCTCTACATAGAAATGAAATGATGGTATTCTACAACAGCAGAGAAAAATCAGATCTTACATCATGAAGGACAATTCTGTGAACTTCGTAAATCTAATAACTGGAACAATAGAAATATAAGCAGGTAAAACAGCTTTCACATATGTGTTTCATTGGTGTTTTGATGTGCTCTATGCCTAGAGCAGTGGTCTTCAAACTGTGGCCCAAGGGTTGGATGTGACCCTTTGCTTGCCTTTATCTGGCCCATAGGGCACTTTTGCTTCAACTGACACCAATCATGGGACACCATTTCTCCCAGTGATACCAACAATGGGGCACTATTCCTCCCACTAACATCAATGATGGGGCAATTTTCCTCCCACCAATACCAACAATGAGGCACTATTCCTCTTACTGACACCAATGATGGGGCAGTTTTCCTCTTACTGACACCAATGATGGGACACTATTCCTCCCACTAACATCAATGATGAGGCACTATTTCTCTCACTGACACCAATGATGGGGCATTATTCCTTTCACTGACACTAATGATGGGGCACTATCCCTCTCACTGACACTAATGATGGGGCACTATTCCTCTCACTGACACCAATGATGATGCACTATACCTCTATGATGGGGCACTATACCCAATAATGGGGCACTATTTCTCCCACTGACACTAATGATGGGGAACTATTCCTCTTACTGACACCAATGATAGGGCACTATTCCTTTGACTGACACCAATGATGTGGCACTATTATTCCTCTCACTGACACCAATTATGGGACACTATTCCTCCCACTGACACCAATGGTGGGGCACTATGCCCCCCATTAAAACCAATGAGGGACATTGTTTACTCCCACTGATGCCGGAGCATTTTCTACTGCTTCTGGCCACAGTCCGGCCCCCCCTGTGTCTGAAGGACAGTAAACTGGCCCTTTGCTAAGAAAGTTTGGGGGCACCTGTCCTAGAGTATAGTTTTAGGCCCCTGGAGGGAAAGGCCCCTGACTCCACACTTGCCCCCAGAATAGAAAGCATCACTACAAACTCACATGGCTGGCTCTAAAGGAGATCCTTCCTCCTTAGGTACCAACAAATGACAATGGGGCCAATTCACTTAGAATTTAATAACGACTGAAAAAATATGGTAAAATAACACATGCTGTAAATTTTTTGCAAATGTGCAATTCACTAAGAATTCTGCGGTAAATAACTCTTGTGGTAAAATATCTGTATCGTGGTAATTACCGCATATTTTCATGTGGTAATTTATTGCACGGTGGCTGGTTATTAAGGAAACCAGCCAGGGCGTCCTTAACAACGGATGACTCATCAGCTGTCGGCGGGTGTCCCACTGACAACTGAATGTAAACAAAACATGCCAGACATTAAGACCAGGGTGTCCAAACTTTTTGGAAGAGTGCCAGATTTGATGAAGTGAACATGTGCGAGGGCCGACCATTTTGCCCGACATTCTGATGAACCATTAACATTAAATGCAAATGAACTATTTTATGCAAACGTTTATTGAAAACGGCATACTTTTCATTTTGTGACTTGGATGACAAATCTAAACAGGTGTTAAATCACTCTGCCAGCACAGGGAGACGGAAAGCCCAAATCTCGCGAGATCTCGGAGGTCGCGAGATTTGGGCTTTGTTTCTCCTTGCACTGTCTGATGACGTCAAGCGATCCTGAGCACCAATCCATTATAGCCCAAATTGATACCGTATTTTTCGCTCCATAAGACGCACCTGACCATAAGACGCACCTAGGTTTTAGAGGCGAAAAACAGGAAAAAAAATTCTGAACCAATGGACTGCAGACATAGCACAGGAGATGACCAGAGACTGCGGACACAGTACAGGAGATGACCAGAGACTGAGGACACAGTACAGGGGATGACCAGAGACTGCGGATACAGTACAGGGGATGACCAGAGTCTGCGGACACAGTACAGGAGATGACCAGAGACTGCGGACTAGTACAGGAGATGGCCAGAGACTGCGGACATAGTACAGGAGATGACCAGAGACTGCGGACACAGTACAGGAGATGACCAGAGACTGCGGACACAGTACAGGAGATGACCAGAGACTGCGGACACAGTACAGGAGATGACCAGAGACTGCGGACACGGTACAGGAGATGACCAGAGACTGCGGACACAGTACAGGAGATGACCAGAGACTGCGGACACGGTACAGGAGATGACCAGAGACTGCGGACACGGTACAGGAGATGACCAGAGACTGCGGACACAGTACAGGAGATGACCAGAGACTGTGGACACGGTACAGGAGATGACCAGAGACTGCGGACACGGTACAGGAGATGATCAGAGACTGCGGACATAGTACAGGAGATGACCAGAGACTGCGGACACGGTACAGGAGATGACCAGAGACTGCGTACATAGTACAGGAGATGACCAGAGACTGCGGACATAGTACAGGAGAAGGCCAGAGACTGCGGACACAGTACTGGAGATGACCAGAGACTGCGGACATAGTACAGGAGATGACCAGAGACTGCAGACATAGTAAATAATGGTAAATGGTAGCCCCAGTAGTAATTCCCTGCGCACCACCTGGGATCCCTCGGCCCACGTTTCGGACCCCACAGATGAGCTGCCCAATATATAACTTACGGCCCTCCACTAGTTATTCTGCGAACGCCACTGAGGACTCCAGGGATCTGTCGAGCGGGAATTGACATCATCAGCCGGCACACAGAGAAGGAAAGCCCAAATCTCACGAGATCTCGGACGTCGCGAGATTTGGGCTCTCCTTCCTGCACCAGCTGATGATGTCAAGAGATCGCTGGAGTCCTCAGTAGCTTTCAGGGAATCACTACCGGGGGCCGTAAGTTATATATTTGGGTAGCTCACCTGTGGGGCCGTTTCAGTCCGGAACGCGGGCCGCAATTGGCCCGCGGGCCGGACTTTGGACATGCCTGCATTAAGACATTACAAATGATGAAAAAAACAGTGTGGGGCTCCCCCCTATCAATAAGAGGCCCTTTGGGTCTGATATGGATTTTAAGGAAAACCCACACCAAAAAAAAAACAGCCATTAGGTCTGGTATGGATTTTGGGTGAACCCCATAGCAAAAATTTTTTAAAAATGGTGTGCGGGTCCCCTCACAATTCTAAGGGATTTTTGGTCTGGTATGGATCTGGGGGGGACCTCACGCTGTTTTTTAAAAAAATTTGGGTGTGGAGTTCCCCTTAATATCCATACCAGACCCTTAGGGATTGGAAGGGGACCCCCTCACTGCATCTGAAAAAATACTGCATGTTATACCACAGCAAAACCCTGGTGATAAATATTGCATCTTTTTTTAGCTTCTGTTCTGTTTGTGAATTGGTCTTAACAGCTTACCGCATGTTTTCTTCTGCGGTGTTTACGGACACCAGGGGTGGACTGACCATTTGGAAACTCGGGCACTGCCCGAGGGCCTGGGGTCAGTAGGGGGCCCCATGAGATGCCCCTGGTACCTTTTTCATAGGTTTTTTTGAGTTTGGGCAAGGACACAGGGGCCCCATGATCCCATATTGCCCGGGGGCCCCATGAGTTGTCAGTCTGCCCCTGACGGACACATATTTAATTTTATGTTAAATACCGCAGAATCGTTTTTTTTGTGAATTGGACAATCTGTTACCGCATGCTATAGTTTATGCAAATGAGCCATGTGACAATGTTATCGTATGTGGTAACCTTTAGTGAATTGACCCCAATGCCCTTTCACCTGACTGGAGGACTACTTTCACCAATCAGAGAAAAGAACAACTAGTGGCAGAAGTAGATTTAAGTCTCTTAACCCCTTTACGCCGGCCGCACACAAATGTGCGGCCTCCCGGCGTCTGAGCCTAGACACCGAGCGGCCGCACATTTGCGTTCATGTAACAAAAAACATATGTGCTGAGAACGCGTGCCCTGCACGCTCCCAGCACACATGTGCGGTACTCACGGAAAGGTCCCGCCCTGCTCTTTCGATCGGGACCTTTCCTCATGGCGGTCACATGATCCCTAAACCACGCCCCACCCACCCCGACTCCCGGCATCTGAAACTCTTAAAGGGCCGGGAGGCACCGGCGGGAAGGGGTTAAAGACCCTGTAACATCTCTGTACAGGCCTGCCTGAAACCTTGG